GTTCTTGTAAGTAGAACATATATGAGCAGAAAATAAATTCAAATTTTCTTGATAAATGCAATATAGAAGCTTTGCATGTTTTGTGGATGTTTTATCTTATGAAAATATTACAGTGATGCTGGGAAATAGAATTTTGCTTTGCCTAAAAAAATGCTATGCATGTAACTAAAATATTCACAGCAAGAAAAAATAAATATGCAGTATGTGTACACTTTCAAGATACATATTGTTTTATTACATGTGTTTACTAAAATCTAATTCCTGAAAAAGGCTCAGTAAAAACAAAAGACAAATCATTCTCATAATAGTTTCTTTCAGAGAAGACACAAGATCATCACATGAATTTTACAATAGGAAGCAAATTACTTAATCAAGAGCTAAAAATACAGAAGTCCTGTGATATTTTTGAGTGTAATAACTACAAACTTCTGAGCTTTTGACAATGCTGACCTGTTTCTCTCAAAATTCCCTAGGAACCACAGTGTAAGTGCTTTATCCTGTGGTGAAGAAATCTTGGCACTCAACCTGAAGGACAACAGTGCCCTCCTGTTTGCCTGCCCCACTCAAAATGCTTCAGATCAGAACCTTGACAAGGTGGATTTAACTGTGCTGCCATTTTGAGGTGCAAACTGCTGCATTGCCTCCTAAAGAAGAAAACTCATACACATGAGAATGTGTATAGCCACATGGAGCTATACCCAGAAAGCTGCTCTTAATTCAGGTGGGATTTCATGTGCTTTCCTCTGTCAAAGGAGACTAAAGCATAAAAAGAGAGAAAATCTGCATATCACAGATATTTTGTCATCACTACTGCTGATCACTGTGGGAAAGCATTTTCCATGGACAGCAAACCAAGTTTTTTCTCTTAATCAGGTAACATAGAAGAGCCTGGGAATCTCAACCTTCCCTGCTGCCTTGTTTATTCCCCCTGTTCAAATGCAGCAGGGATTTTTTTTCATATAAAACATTCACCCCATTTTAATATAAATTATCTATAATATTTTTCAATATATTATTTAGTAAAGGCACTATTAGATGTAGGAAAGTATTACAGGCAGTTTCTCTGTCACAGTGCTGTAGTCATAACTCTTTGGTTTTCTCTTCAGGTTTGGCTGCTGATGAACTGACTGACCTTGGAAAAGCTGTGTAAGTTACTGAGTCTCTGTGTAAATACTAAACAAAGACCACGAAAATTAGAGGCTGTGAGATGTACACACGTTTTTTTCTGTTACATTGTATTTATTTTCAACTCCTCTGAATTCCACAGAATGCACCATCAAGAGGACTGCTATTTTCCTGAAATTTTGTCTAAGAACTTCACCTAAAATCTATTTAGTTGTAAAGTCACAATTTCAGGGAAAAGCACCAGGCTGCACATTTTGGCAATTTCATTTTGGCCAATAGTGATAATGAGGCCAGAAGAACAAATCAATACTTTATTTATAATGTACACTCAGAGTACATCAAAAAAGGACAGTTTGAACCAAGAGTATAATTCACTGCATGTCCTTGTGCCATTTATGCTATAAATGCCTCGGGGTAGGGATTGTATCTTACTACTTCTAACAACCATTTTTATGGGGCATCAAACTTGTTGGATGTCTCTTAGTGCTACTGTATGCAAATTAAAATACAGCTGGATTGTGAAATTCAGGCTCACAAAAAAAGCCCAGACCAGTTTCACACTAGAAGTTCTTCAAGTTTGGGGTTTGTTTTTTTAAGAAGTAACTTTTGTTTATCTACAGGGAATAAGCCCAACAGCAAAACTCACCCAGATATATGATGATAAGCTATCACATTTTTATATGAGAGGGAATGGATTTTTTCAATCACTAACCTATAGGAAGGGTGAAATATCCTGTTTGATTTCAACAGTTTGTAAGTGTGAGTAGCATTTAAAATAACTTCACAGCTATATCATATATATAATCTAATAACAATTAAACACCTTCTTATTCATGTATATACATTGCTTACTATTGTTTCCTAACAGTTTTTGCTATAAAATTTCCAAAATATGTAATAGCTAAATTTTGCCAAAAGCTTTATTTTTGTTAGCAGGTGAATATTGAATAATCTGCAAGATGTGACATACACTTAGTTATCTTTAGGCTGCTATTGTGAGCTTAATTCTTAAATAGTAATCAACACTGACTACAGAGAGTACTAACATTGACTACAAAATCAAACCAAACAGGACCAGGATCTGAGTTTGCAATTTCATCTAAGCCTGTGAAAGTTCATTTAATTCAATGTTTTTGATAGACTTTGCCTAGCATTTCCTTTTGCAGCTTGTTAGTCACTAACATATACGTCTTGAAGTTTTGCTTTAATTTAGCTTGCATGTCTACACAATATCACTTTTTTATGCTCTTAAACGTGTGTTGATAGTGAAGCAAAAATATAATAGTTGCCACTGCTTTCAGGTCCTGTGAGATTTTGTATCACAGAATGTAAAGATCATGGTAACTATGAAACTAAGATTAACCACCTCACTGCATTTTAGGACATTTCTCAAGGGTCTTGCACACTTCTGTTTTGCTTCTTCCCCTTTTTAATTTTTTTTTTTTTTTGACAGACTAGTTTCAAGCTCCATTTCCACTTCTCCATCTCTAGTTCTTCACTCCGTGCTCTCTTCCTCTGCCTTCTCTGTTCCTCCATATTTTAGTTTTTTGGGGTTATTTTGTGGGTGGTATTTTTTTTTTTCTGTCTTGCTTATGTTAAAGTTTTGGAAGAGGCTGTATAAATGTCTGTGCCCAGAGCGGGGCTGCCCGGAGGGACAGGGGGCCCAGCGGGCACCGCAGCGCAGCCTCGGGCTGCGGGCAGGATGGGAACGGGGATGGGAACGGGGATGAACACGGGATGGGAACGGGGATGGAAACGGGGATGGGAACGGGGATGGAAACGGGGATGGGAACGGGGATGGGAACGGGGATGGGAACGGGGATGGGAACGGGGATGGGAACGGGATGGGAACGGGGATGGGAACGGGATGGGAACAGGGATGGACACGGGGATGGGGATGGGGATGAAGACAAGGAAGGGGGAAGTGATTTGGCCTGGGATGGAGATGGAGATGGGGGCGGTGAAGGGAATGCTGATAGGAATGGGGTCGGTGATGGCAGTGAGGACGGGGATGGGGATGAGTGACAGTGATGGCAACAGGGATCGGAATGGGAATGGGCATGGGGATGGGCTTAGGGATGGTGATGGTGATAGTGACAGTGGTGAGGACGGGGATGTGGATGTGGATGGGGATGATGACGATAACGGTAGTGGGGACAGGGATGTGGATGGGGATGATGACGGTAGTGCGGACAGGGAAGTGGATGGGGATGGGGACGGTGGTGGGAGCAAGGATGATGACGGTGACAGTGGTGAAGACAGGGATGTGGATGACGGCGGAGACGGAGATGTGGCCAGGGCTGTCCCCGCCGCCCTTCCCGGTGCCGCTCGTCCCCGCCGCCCCTCCCGCACCGGGCGGGGGGCGGGCAGCAGGACAGGGCTGTGGAGCTGCTGGCCGAGCGGGTCGATGGGGCCGGCCCGCGGGCGGGGCGGGCGGGGCGGTCGCTCGCGGGCTCGGGGATGGATTGCGGGTGTCCGGCGCGGGCGGGCGGTGCCGCCGCCGGACGGAGCGCGGGGGGCACCGGGCCCGGCGCGGCCTCAGGTACCGCGAGCGGGGCCGAAACCGGAGCGGGGCCGGAACGGGCGGGTCCCGCCGCTGCCGGGGATACCGCGGGCGAGAGGCCCCGCAGGGCTGAGCGGGGCCGGGCCCGGGAGGGAACTTTGTCCCTTCGTGCGGGAGGGGGGGCCGGGGGTGTGTGAGTGCTCCGCGTCCCGCCGGCCCTTGGCCCCGGCCGCCCGTGACAGCGCTGTGGGGAACGCGCCCTCCGCTCCCTGGCGCGGGGGAGCTGCCCTGGGCGCGCTGGGAGTGTGTGGAGGGTTCCGCTGTGCCCAGAGCGAGCCTGTACCCGCGGCAGTGCGGGCAGTGACCGTGGCCCTGGGCTCGGCACCGCCTCGGCCGCCGTGCCCCGCTCCGTGCCCTCGCTCCAGGAAAGACTGAGGCGCTGGAGCGTGTCCGGGGAAGGGCAGCGGAGCTGCTGAGGGTGTGGAGCACAGCTCCTGTAAGCAGTGCCCCAGGGAGCTGAGGGAGTTTAGCCTGGGTTAAAGGAGGCTTTGGGGAGACCTTGTTGCTCTGCACAGATCCCTGACAGGAGCCGGGCGGGGGTCGAGCTCCCAGGCAGCAGTGACGGGACAAGAGCACACGGTGTTAAACTGCGCCAGGGGAGGGTCAGGTTGGGCATTGGGAAGAATTTCTGTGCAGAAGGTTGATTAAACAATGGAGTGGGCTGCCCGGGGAGGTGGTGGAGTTGCCATCCCTGGAGGTGTTTAGGGAAAGCCTGTGCCACGGTCTGGTCGACAGGGTGGTGTTTTGTCATGGGATGGATTCGATGATCTCAGAGCTCTTTTCCAACCGAATAGATTCAGTGATTCTGAGCTGGCACAGCTGTCCTGCCTGGCTGGGGCTGTGAGGGGTATGTGCTTCCTCTGCTTGGGCTGCAGCTCCCTTTCCTTTCCCCCTGCAGTTTCCAGTGTTCTACTTGTGAGTTTCTAGTCATTCTTCCTCCCCCGAGGTCCCTAGGGCTTGAGCCATATATCTTTTCTCTTAGGCATTCACTTTTCTCTGAGTGCATTAGGAAGACTTACTCATTTCCTTCTCTTTGTTCCTGCTACTTTTCCCCAAAGATATCTGTGGGCAGGAAGAAGACTCCTGTTCACTCCAAGTGCAGTGATTTCGTGGTTTTCTCCCTTGCCTGGAAGGCTCGGCTTCCAGCTGCCAGGGTGTCTCTCTGCAAGCTGCCCTGCTGGTTCTTATCAGGAGTCTGTGTCTGTATATCCTGTGACAAAGCACGATATGTTTAGTCCTTGCACTAGACGAGATTAGATCTGCAGCATGTGAAATGGATGTCATTTGTAATCCTTAGCTGATGTTAAATGTGGAGCTACTGGTGGCTGGGATTCCTCTCTATGTAGTGAAGCTTAGAGAGGCCTTGGCAGCTTGACATGGAGTTTTTTCTCCTAATGTTGCTGGACAAGAATAACAAGGAGGTCAGTGGATGTTCTGCTTGTCAGATTTCACTCTGCTGACCTGAAACTGGGGTGTTTCCAGCTCATTCAGTCAGACTTGAACAGGGTCACAGCCTTGCAGGGGGTGCTGGGGGGGTTACTGAGAGCTGAGTGCTTGGATGGGCTGGGAGCTGGTAAGGACCCTGAGGTATAAAACAGATTAATGCTCTGCACTACTAGTTCTATATAGGAAAATTTGTTTGAAGCATTGTTTCATGAATTTTGAGTAAGTGCTGAATAGGAAGCTTTCATTTCATTGGTGAAAATGTTTAAACATTCTTGTTCTTTTTATTCCTCAAATGCCAATATCCAGCTGTGCCATGACAGTTTGATAGCATAACTGTTACATATCAACAGATTCCTAAACCATACCTTTGATTAAGCTAAATTCTCTTATTCTGGTAGTAAAATTAATGTGTTTTCTGTGCAGACTTTGGTCTTGTGTAACTTCCTATGCAGATGGGAGCAGTGATCTCTACTTGCAGAACTCAGTACTGGTATGGAAAACTTGGTTGCTTTTTTAGATCTTTTGTTTTGCTATATTCTAAGATCCTACAGGAAGCTTTATTTGAGTAAAAATGACAGGGCTGCAGTGAATGTGACAGTCATGTTGCATAAGGCTCACTTTTCCATCTCTTCTGAATATTCTTGCCTTTGCTCTCACCTCATGGTATCCTTTGGAGGTTGAGTAGACATCAGAATTGTGTTAGGTTAATGTTGCTTTAATGTAGGCTTACAGATTTTGACATATAAATGTAAATAATTTTACTTTCAGTTTTGTTTTGGTTTTTTTTTTCTGGTTAAAGTGAAAGCAGTGTCTCTGTTTCTTTTATCTCAAAAGCAATCCAATATGAAACAAGACATGATGACAGAACATGTTAAAAGGGGGAGGAGGTTGTATCCCAGAACTTGTATTGTTGGAGCAGCTGGTATAACTGGAAAAACTAAACCCATTTATTTTGCCTGCAAGCCTTATCTTGATATGTTGTCTTTCAACTTGTATATGAAATAATCTTGAGTAAATACAAGGAAGAATTTCCAGTTGACTTGCTTGCACCATGGCTTGTGACTGAGATGCTGTTCTGTGTCTTTTGGCATTCTTGCTACGTCTTTTTTTCTATTTTTTGGTGGTGGAGGGGAGAGACAGGCTGTGTGTTTTCCTCCTGGAACAGCCAGAACAGCAATACTTCTGTTTTGCAATGATTTGGCAATTCTTTGGCCTATAATGTTTTCTTCTCTAATTGTCAGTGCAATAAAAGTTTGAGAATTTCATGTGATTTTCTCTTCTTGGGCGGAGCTTGTAATGTGGAAATAATCTGCACAAAGAAACATTTGATGCTGTCCCCATAAGCTTGCACATGAAGTATCAATGGTGCAGTTTTATTTCCTGCCCTCAGAAGTTGCTTGTTTCATGTTCAGGAGAGGAGAGTTGGACAGGCTGCTGAGCCTGTTGGCTTCAGTGCAGTCAGCTGTGTGCACATGCACTGTAGACTACACAGTGAGGCTGCTTTCTATATCTTTTGATATCATAAATTGAAGTGGTGGATCTTCTTACATGATCTAGGGTACTGCAGCATTTTAAAATCAAAGTACAGTGTCATGACAAGAAAATTTTTAATGTTTGTTTTTCAGAAGATCTTCATGTAACTGGCTGAAAAATGGTTCTGCAAGATGACAGCACCAACTCTAAGACTGTTGGAATGGTAAATAAATTTTAAAAAGGAGACTTTAAAAGGTCTCATTGCTGTTTGCTAAAAATTATAATTATATTAACAAAAGTCTTTTAAATGAATATTCCTTTAAATGTCAGATTAGAGCTGGTATGCTTAAAGTTACACCATGTGGAAAGCATATTATTTCCTAATAATGGAAACAAAGGACAAACATGCTTAAGTTTCTGCTCTATTAATAGAGTAGAATATGATATTTACTTTTAAACCATAATTTTTATTGCAGTCTCTCTGTCTTCTGGTGGCCTAAATTTATCATAACTTTTTGCACTTGATAAATTAAATGTTCTGTAAGGGTAAAGCCCTACAATAAAAATGCCAAGGTTGTGGCTTCAGTCCCTGTGCCATTCGTTTAAGAGTTGGACTTTATGATCCTTGTGGGTCCCTTCCAACTCAAAATACTCTGTGATTTTGTGATTAATTGCCTTGGTGTGCAGGATCTACAGTGAGCATTGTCTTTATGGAATAGAAGATGGATAATTACATGCTTTTGTCTTTAAAAAATGCATCTTCCAGTTTGTTGGGTCTTTCTAAGCAGTTATGATAATTTGGTAAACTGTGGAAAAGGTTTGAACTTGCTGTGTGTAAATGTTGAGTTCAATGGGGGCTTGTGGGGACCCTCTTAATGAGTTACCTCTTAATCAAAGAGGTGAAAAGCATGAATTTAGCTATTGCTCCCTGTTAGCAGTTTACAAACTCTCAGCCATGCTTGACAGGTGATCAAAAGCTAATTTTGGGTAAGCATTTAATTCTGCCCTTGGTGCCACTTCTGCTGGGGATACTAATTTGAGACTCCTTAGCATAGTGTGTGACTCCTGTTCACCCTAAAACAGAGCTTAGCAACATTTTACATTAATAATGACAATAAAAATTCCAGCACTTCCAGGCAATAAAACTTATGGCTCTATTTTGTATAATGTTTCTTTTCCTATAAAACAGTGGATTTTATTGAATGTGCTTATAGAATCTGAGTTTAAAAAAGATAAATAAATTTTATGTAAGACGGTGTTTTGTTTTAATACAATAAAAATGCTGTATCCATTTAAGGAAGGAAAGATACTGGGCTTTCACAAGACATAACATGGAGGTGCTTTATCTTTCTAGATTATTTTAAGGCAAACAAGGCTGTATGTTCTTCCATTACCTTCTTAGTTCTAATGTTTAAATTCTTTGCTTAGGAATGTGCACTGGAGAAATAGTGCCTTTCTCTGCATAGCTTAGAAAATCAGAATTTAACATCATCAGGTTCTTGTTCCTCATGTGAACCTCCTAGAGTCAATTAATAAGGAAGGGATTGTGTTCTTTGTAATATCAAAATTAGGTAAGGATCCTGTTTTCCTGCAGTTCAGGGCTGCCCTGCATTTTTGATGCAGACCAGTTCTTAAGGTTCTAGATCTGTATGTCCCCAGCACTTAGGGCTTGAGCTGCAGAAGAACTTGTAGAACTTGAAATTTTAGACAGTATTTTGCAAAGATAAATGCTTAATAAACCTGTGCACATGATGTTTCACACTTTGCTTTTTTTTTTTAGGAGACTGTCTTCACTTTGACATGAAGTGTGAAGTTTGTTAGTCACCACTTTTGTTCCTTTTTTACAGTTATTGTGGAAGGTAATGTGACAAAAGTCTTGTTCTTGTGTGTTCATTTCTATCAGAGCATATTACCCTCAATGTACAGAAGGCAAACATTAAAGTGTGGAATTGTATTTCATTGCAAGTTAGTGAGTACTGTTAATAAGTGGGACAATGTGTCTGTCTAAAACTTCTCAAAATAGTACTTTTAAGCTGTCTTTGCATTTTTGCATTTTGTGTGATGTTTTACAGGGTTTTAATTCCGTCCTAAAACTTAGTATTTAGGTTTCAGTAGGCTTTTGAATTTCTGCTGAACTTTACAGGCATTTTAGTATTGCTGCTTGGTAACTTTTTTAGTCAACTATTAGCTTGAAGGTGATGGTGCTGCACTTCATAGTCACCTTTTCTTGTTAAGCTTTTTGCCTTGTTAGGGAAGGATCAAGCAAAGGCTATATTAGGCACACAGAAATGTTAAACAGCTACTTGGTAGTCAGATGAGAAGTAATAGCTGCTCTTACTGCAACATAAAAAAATTCCAACTTCCAAGGCATAATTATGGGCTCTTTATTTAGAATTTTAGCATCTACTTAGCAAAGTTACAGAAGAAATGGTGTAAAATATGCATAGACTCTGAATAACTTTATGTGTAACCTCTTATCTAAGAAGTGCTGGATGTTCCATCATCCTTTACTTTGCTCCTGTTGAAGGATTTTAAAGCAAGGGATTTGTTCAAGCCTAAGGTAGACAAGCTGAGCACAAGATTAAACAGCTGCAGAATGTGACTGTTGTCTGTGCACAATCTCTGTTCACAGAGTGTGCTTTGAAGCAGCCTGTGGTGAGAGCAGCAGAGCTGTAGGTGTGAGGGAACACCTGATGTGGAGATGTCCAGTTGATCAGGCTGGGCCATTCCTTCCTGTGTCCCCAGCTCCCTGTCCCCTCCTGCCTGCAGCACAGAGCTGCTGGAGGGCTGCAGTGCTTTCTCTTTCTAGGGTCATTTCCCACTCTCCCTGCATTGTGCTATAGCCTGACAGGAATGAGATTTCTTCCTTCCAGCTTCTTTGAACTCTTCTGTGTCCAGCTTCCACATTAGCTGCATATTATGCAAACACACAAACAATTTTTAGGCTATATATAACTTCATGTAATGGCTTGTAGGCTATTAGTCTACAAGCAAAGTTTGTAGAGTATGAAAGCAAAGTTTGTAGAGTATAATATGTAGTATTTGTTAAACCAATTCCTAAAACCTGAAAAAAACCTTTATAAGCTTTCAAGCTTGAAAACCTTTATGTTAGTTTCTTCAAGTTTAAGATAATACATTTGTTTGCTCTCTCTTTGAGAACAAATATTTCCTCCTTTATTCTGTATCAAGCAGAAACTAATTCCTTGCTGAGTCTTTCATAACTTTGCCTCTCTCTACTTACAGATTTCTGCTTTCTTTTGTCAGTCCCACCATTTTATCAGAAAAGCAGAGTAATTATCCAGAACTGATGCCCACACATGGAATATATCGGCAGAGATCTAGTGGTATAATTATACTTCAGGAACTCTGCCTGTTCATTTTCCTTTTGAAAGAGGCCCTTTGAGAAATGGAGGAAAAAAATGTCAAGATTTGAACATGGCAGAGACTGTATAGAATATGAGTCAATGCAGAAAACAGTGCTGTGATCTGCAATGTGCTTGTGCATATCTGGGCACTTAAATCCTTAATCTGAGGCTGTTCTGGAAAAAAATAACGTACCCTCCTCACTTCCTGAGGACATTATTGCACTGTCTCTTTCACAAATCATGTGTAAATAATGAAAAGAAAGCAAGTATTTGTATATTGACACATGTGGAAGAAAAAAAGCTCAATTAAAATTTATCAAACCATATTAGCAAAGCAGATGACCTCTAGTTACTGTGAAAGTCAGAAGCTGCTCTCTAAAGATGACTTAGATTGCAGTTCCTTGAGCAGTTCTCTCAGATATGGTGTTTGAGTTTATGGTATGCTGTGCCATCTGTAGTTAATGAACTCTTAATAAATTGGTTCTTAAAATATATACATAAATAAGTGAAGGTTAATGATAGAAATCCCACATACATGTTTGGCTGACATTAGAGAGTTTGTAAAGACTTCTAGTACAAGAATGAGTCATCAGTCTTTGTCAATTGTATTTGAAGCTTTTTAGTAATATAATTGAAAGTTTTCCTAAATTTAGGCCTTCCATAAATTTAGGCCATCCAATGGGCAGCTGTAAAGCTGTGTCACAAATCTGAATTCCTTTGCAGCAGCATTAATGAATTTTTGATAGATTTTCACTAGAATTGGTTCATGCTTATATTTAATAAATTACCAAATAGCTATAAATATTTTTTAATACAATTACATGTATTAAATGTAATTGTATTAAAATTGCATTTTACTTTACTTTGTAGAATACATTGTATTCTACTTAAAGTAGACTACACATTACATGTGTAGTCTACTTTAAGTTTACAATTAATTATTCTATTTTTTCTTGAATCACCTCTTGTTGTAAGAGTTTATAATTTACCCAAATGTTTTCCTACATCTTCTGTAATATTTGCTGAATGCCTCTAAGTTTAAACACATTTCTGACATTTGTCACAACACATCAATCTAATTTATACTGTTTGCAGAACTTGTAGTGTAAATTCCAAATTGTGTTTTACCTACTTTTTTCTTACTTCATTCCTAAAGCAGTTGATAAATTTTTGCAAAGTCAAGATTTACTTTATAATTGCCCCTAATATCTCTGAAAATTTCCTGCCGGATCTGTCAAAGATCTGCTTTTTAACAACACAGTCATGTGTGTCCTTGCAGATCAGGTCCTGTTTATATGTATGAAACAGTTGCCCCCAGTGTTTATTTTTCTGTGTGCCAGTGTAACCTTCTGTGTGTTCTTTCTGTCCCTTTGCCCAGGTTCCAAATGGTGTGGGTGTTTATCATGAACCGGATGAGCTCCCAGAGCAGCTCATCTGCCCAGCGCAGGCGAATGGCTCTAGGAATTGTCATTCTGCTCCTGGTTGATGTCATCTGGGTGGCCTCTTCAGAACTCACTTCTGTGAGTATTGTCCCACACACTTTGAGGGAAAATTAATGAGGAAAATGCAGCAGAATCATAACTATCAAACTTCATGTTTCACCAGCCTGAATCCACTAAAACTTACAGATAAGTTCAATTCAGTGCCTGTTTCTTTTGAGACAGAATGTGTTACTGATGACTTTAAAATTAAACAGCATAAACTCATCACTGTGTACTGTAATCAGGGAGTTAATTTTGTTATTGCTGTATTGATTAAAATAATGCCCATATGGTTCCCAAAAACTGGTAAATGAGCTGTCACATGCCAGGCTGATTGATGTAGTGAATTGTAGTTCAGAACATCCAGAAGTTCAGGATGAAAGGACTCAAATCATGGAGTTTAAACCCTGTAATTTCATCTAGTTCATATATTAACCATATTGAAACTGTTGTGGTATTTATTTCATGTTAAGTTTTAGGACTTAAACCAGAGCTTTAGTAATGGAAATTGAGTTTTTAATAAACTCCTAAATTAATTTCTTTCAACTGTCATTATGTTCTATATCAGTTTTGAAACTAAACATATACAATTGTTTGTGCTTGTCTTGTGATATTAATAAAACATTTTTTTGAATGAGCTAGCGGAGTCACTTTTGATACTGAAATGTTATTTAGCCAAAGTAGTCTTCTCTAATTTATGATTAATATGTTATTGCTTATAAAAGTGGTCTTCAATTTAGAAAATATTTGTATGTAAATGTATTTTCAGTGCTATTTGAGTTCAGTAGCATACATAGTTGCTTGGTGAGATACAAGTAACAAGTGGTTTTCCTTCTGAGGCATTGTTTCTTTCAAAAAGTCTCCTTTTTTTGGCATTGGAGGTAGTTTGGGAGAGGGTTCCCCCAGAACAGGTAGGGCTATTTGATTCCTTTGGTTAACCATGCCAATACTCACAGCTCTGGTATTTTGGGAAGCAGGCTGTTCTGGACTATATATTTACACTTGATCATTCATGTTGTGAACTCTTACCTATTTGGTAATTTTGGATACTGCAATTATTTTCTTTCCACAGTATGTTTTTACAAGGTACAACAAACCCTTTTTCAGTACATTTGCAAAAACATCCATGTTTGTTCTATACCTCCTGGGATTTATTGTTTGGAAGCCATGGAGGCAACAGTGTACTCGTGGGTTTCGTGGAAGGCATGCAGCTTTTGTAAGTATTACAACTCTGTGGATGTGATATTTGTCTAAGTTTGTACAGAAAAAAAGCCCCTGAAAATAGAGACTAGAGAAGAGCAAGAGTTACATATTTGAGGTATAAGCTGAATCATGCCACAGGAAGACATGGCAGTCGTAACAGTTGTCATGTGAAAGGATGAGAGGCAAGAAGAAGCAATGTGAGATGTGTCAGGAGTTGTAAGAAATGCTAGAAATGCTCTGCTGGGCCAGGCCATTGGTCCCTGCAGCCTGGATTTGTATCCTGGGCAATTGCAGAGGATAATTCCTCTTAACAAGAACTTATGAAACTCACTGCTGGCTCTTGGTTCCCTTTAACTCCCCCAACATCTGCACCCAATGGAATCAGAGCTTGAACTTTGTAGCTGATTTTTAGCACTGACTCTTTTTGTCTCTGGCACAACTATGAACTGTTTGCTGAGTGTTTTGAGGAGTTTAAAGTTACATTTAGTAAGGGTTGTAGAATTACATGTTTGTTGTTGTTAATATTATAGCTTTTATGCATGAGTGACCTTCTGATGCCCATTCCAGAGTCAGGCATAGTTTGTGCTAGAACCTAAAATTGTTGTTATATGACAGAAATACTGGGGTTTTTTTCCAAGAGATGCGGGGAAGAGCAGTTGTTCTGTGCCAGTGTTTCAAGATGCTGAACAGCAGCACTCAGGAAGCAGGAAGGCATTTGGCCTGATACTAATCTCACATAAAACCCAGAAAATGTGATCCAAGAACATGCTGTTAATCAACATGTCTTTATGGAAAATAGATTGTGTGAAAGAAACTGACTTGAGATTTTCTGGATGTGTTAGACTTCACTGATAGTGACAGTTGCAGGCATAACATATTTAAAGTGTTACATGACTTTTATCTGATTTTTTTTTAAGAAAAGACAAAGCACAAAGAACAACTGAAAAAATATTTTAAAAAAATTCTTGAGTTAAACACATAGAGCATTTAAAGTTGGCTAATATCTTGATACAATTTTTGCTAGATCAGCCTTTAATACCAAGTGTTTGTGTGTAATATGGCATGTGTTAGACTTGATGTTGTTCAGAATCTTCATAAAGTAATTTGGGAATAAACAGAACTTAGTTTCTTTGCTGACAGTAATGAAATACGAACTGGAAAGCAATGACTAAGAGTGCCCAGTCTGTCACATGTTGTGTGTGGCACTCATGACACTGCTACTGGAATCCCATTATTTTTCCTTTTCAAAAGAGCAGTGCAGACAGGACTGTAATATGCTGTTAGAAAATTCCTTTCTCCTTCAAGGAGTGTAGTTAAATATTCAACTCTGTAATTATTGCAAGTGCCTTTAAAGTGTCTTGTGTATTAGTCTGGACAACACATCCATTTATATGGTTTTATTTCAATGATTGCTTGGAGAAACACATCTTACTTTTAATTTCTCTTCCACGTTAAAAGTTTTGTTTAATAATTTTGCTACCATCATGGTAGAACAGCAAGCTGCAGGTCAGGGAATATGGGTTTGCTAAGGTGCAGAAAGGAGGAGGGAAAGGAACTTTGCCTCAGTAAAATGAAGAAGGAGGCATCTTGTTGTTAATAGATGCACAATCATTTAGTGGGCATTGTGTCCCTAAGACTGAATTTTTCAGGTTTTCTCTATCTAAGAGCCTCATCCTGCATTCATACCTGGCTAGTTTAACTCAGTGGGGTTCAAGAGGTAAAAGGAAGTACTGAAATTATTACTGAACTTGTAAGCCCTCCTGGTATTGGGGAAGGAGGGCTGAGAGGAGAGAGGGAATTGTGACAGAATGATGGAAAAAGTCATAAAAAACCTTACTCTTCAAAAATTACAGCTACTAATAACTTTGCCTTGGTAGTTTATTACATTAAGATTTCTGTAATTAGTTTGCAGATGCTGAAGGTTATTTTGCTGCTTGTACAACAGATACCACTGTGAACAGTTCTCTGGTAAGTGCCTTAATTTATGAAAGTGAATGCTTTATAACAACATGGGACAACTATCTTGACTTACTGTTCATAAAATATGGCAGTTTTAAGTGTAATAGGTTTTGTCAAAGGGGATTGGTAACTTGCATGCCTAATGTTACTAATAAGTACTGCAAATAATGGTATTGCTTACTATAAGAAATATGGGTTCTCAGCTCAATAAAGCACTTAATTGAATGCTTCTGTAATAGTTTGTCAAAGAAATATCTTCTACAGAGAAAACCTTTACAGATTCAGCTCAGTACCATCTCTGTAATAGAGTGGAGGAAGCAATGGAGTATTGCAAATTACTGTATGGATATTTTATACAGAATTACTTGAAGAGACATTTTTTCAGATGTAATTTTTTGGGGATTTTTAACTTTATCTATCTCTACTTAAGAATAAAATCATCTTTGCCTTCTCAATTCATTAAGATCATGTGACTCTAGAAAATGGAACAATTTTGCATTAATTTAAACATCCACCAAAATTCTTAATCCTAAGCAAGTGTAATGAAAATCCAACTACCAGATCTTTTTAATGACTTTACTTTTACAGTTTATCAACTTAATCTAAGCAAGTAGCTTAAGACTTGTCTTGTAAGCAAAATTTTTAATTGCTTGAAATACTTCTAAGTGCCTAAAGTATTGTAGATATTTCCCAAAGTTTTTTGATGTTTAGGTTTAGGGTAGAAAATAAGGGCTTTTAGGGTCATGGGAAGAAAATGGGTACTTCAATTTTTCTACATACAGTCTGTATTTCATGTTTCTAGTTTATAATTTGGGCAGAAGCTATAGCTAATGAAATATCTGTAATATTGATGACTTATTTTGTAATTTTAATCAGTAGGCTGGCCATAAGTTTTGTGTTCATGAGGATACACACAAAAGAGCACAGTTCTCTTTTAGTACTGTGTTTTACCAATGTGTGTAACATACAGTATATTGTATACATGAATTTTGACAAGTCTATCCACTGTGTGCGGACCTGCTTTAAGTCTGATTCTCTTGCTATTAGCTAAATTTTTCTTTATTTAGTTTTCTAATTTGCTAAATAAATTCTGGTAATAATTGAAATATCCTGCTTAACCATATTTTTACTTATACTGATTCATTGCAGAGTGAACCTTTATATGTTCCTGTAAAGTTTCATGATTTGCCAACTGAAAAAAATGGCAGTAATAGTAGTGATGCAGAGAAAAGTGAGTAAAGACTTTGTTAGTTCTTTGGAGAAGGAGTTACTTTTCTCTTTGTTTAGTATAACTGCTGTCATGTTGCAGGACATGCTTCCCCTTCCTCCCCTCCTTTTTTTTTTTTCCTTTTTTCTCCTTTCTAAAATCTCTTATTGCATGAATTGCAGTCTCAAATGTTTACTTTCAGGTAGAGAAAACATAGGCCTGTCGTTCAGTTTACCTTTCTTGGTCACTACAGATGCAGCCTATGTTTATCTCAAGGGACCAACTGGGTTCAGTACTTGTGATTCTTTCCTTCTGGCCTTGTAAGACCAGCAGCAGTGAGTCAGCCTCTGGAAAAACAAGCTATTGTCCTTTTTAGAGCAGGAGCAAAGCAGTCAAAGTAAGAATTTTAATAGTCTATGTGCATTCTGGTTTTATTTAAGCCTCACTATCTTGAGATAGTACCTGAAAAAGGCCTAAGTGTCCCAGACAATTGTGGGAAGGTTGGCTTCAGAACATCCAGTTAGGCAGTCCTCAGCACAAGAGTTCCTGCTTATCAAAGGGAAGCTCTCTTAATTTCTCCATGGCACACTTTGGTAGGCTCTGCTTCCTGTGGCAACGTGCACCAATCACTTCAGAATTGTTCCAGCTGCAGCTTTCCCTTTACTTTTTTAGGAAATCAGGTATTGTTTCCCATTGATTTAAGCTAATATTTGCCTGTAGTGTTTAGTGCAATATTTTCTTTATGGAGGAAGCTAATGATACTAAAATAACCTTCTAAATAAAAGCTGCTCCTAGTTTGCAAGATTAGTTAGAGAGTGGATTTCAAAAGGGCAAGTGACTTTATGGTCTCTGCTAAGCATTGAGGGCTGTTGGACTTTAATCTTGTAAATGAAACATTGTCCTTGCAGTTAGGTATAATTGTGTGCAGGTGTTGGCTCTTTGGCTATCAGACAATTAAAGAAAATCATATATATATATATGTATATAATGGTTTTTAAGATGGAATAATTCCTATCTAAAAATAGGAATTATTTTGTTATAAATTATGTTGCTACCTTTTGTTGATGTTTTTTACAGGGAGCAGGGGTGGTGCTTTTCAATGAGGTTTTCGTGGGTGGATAGATTACTGATTGAAAACAGTAATTAATTGTGCTTTGTCTTATTAGTGGTCTCCTGAATAGCTGAATATTAGTTTAATAAATCATGATGACATGTCTTCTAATTGAATAAGAACCTGTTGTTTGTGCAGTATTTTAATCAATGGTACGTTACAATATCATCATTTTATTTGCATATTGTGTTGGCTCAAAAAGTTTAATAATAACACGAATATTTTTATTTTTTTAATTTTTTTTTCTGTTTTTCTGCCTCTCAAGCACCCAAGAAGCCTCGTGTGAGGTTCAGTAACATCATGGAGATCCGGCAGCTGCCATCAAGCCATGCTTTGGAGGCAAAGCTGTCCCGCATGTCCTACCCAACAGTGAAGGAGCAGGAATCCATCTTAAAAACTGTGGGAAAGCTCACTGCAAGCCAAGTAGCAAAAATTAGCTTTTTCTTTTGCTTCGTGGTATGTGCTCCATTCTTTCAGAAAACTTAAGTAAAGATGCATTTAAAACTTGTATAATAAGAGTGAATAAATATTGAGATGATTTGTATTCTTTAAACCTTATTTTATAAATGTGCAATAAGAAGTAAAACTCTCCTTGTGCTCGATTTAATTATGGATCTTCTGGTAGATGCTGTTGCTGCATCATGCCTCAGTTCTGGGGGGAGAGAGAGAATCCAGGCAGGATTTTTGAGACAGAAAAATGTAGAGGGCAGATCAGTGATGCCTTGTCTAGAAGCACCTTCACTGCTACTGCCAAATAGATTCTATGTAGTGTGGACTCATCATGGCTTTTCCTCAGGAAGTAGTTATTTAAGCATTATTGTTATTGTTATTATTACCATCAACAATAATAATACCACTGATGGATGTACCAGAAAACAGTAGTGTAATTTTTTCTGGGGTAATGTCCTCATGTCCAAAACAAATCCTGTTTATTCTGTTCATGGATGCTACTGCCATGTACATGTATTTCTTCTTGGACTTTATGAATGTTTCTACATAAGACTAGAGAGTGGTTGCTTCCCTTTGGATATATCTGAGATCTTACTAGTGAGATCTCAATCAAGAAGTAAGAAAACATTTGCCATTTTATACCTTTATGGAGGAATGAAGAAATATTTTTTAGGCATTGAATGTAAGAGATCTTGTTTTTAACAGTGGAGATGTGTGCTGGTTTGAAGTACTCTGAAAGAACCTCATTAGGATGACTAATGCCACATGCATTACTGAAATTTCTTTGCAGCCCTTGTGCAGTTATCATCTTGAAGCACTCCAAAACAAGTTAAAAGTATCTTTAGTTACTACAGACTAGCTATTATAATGTCATTTTAATTCTTTTTAGGTTCTGAAGTATGGTATTTTGTTATTAAACATGTGCTTGAATGTGGTTGGTTTGAGGCAGTTCTAAGTTTGCTACTGTCTTTTAATGTGCCTTCCACTTTAACAGAAGTTAGAAGTCTCTTTAAGCTAAAAATCTAGTTCTGATTTTATTTTTTAAATAACTGGAGTGTTTTTTTTAAAGTAGGATTTTATTGCACTGAGAAACTTAAACTCTGTTGTTGCTGCCCATATAATAAGAGAATTATTTTTCTTTTTCCCCAGTGGTTCTTGGCAAATTTCTCATACCAAGAAGCTCTGTCAGATACCCAAGTTGCCATAGTTAATATCTTGTCATCAACGTCTGGTAAGTTTTATTTACACCACCAGATGTGCACTACAACACTGTTTATAACATAGAAATCTCATTACAATGGGTTTGTGTAACATTTTTACCTGTGGATTTGACCTAAAGGCATTGAATATGTATGTTTAGAAAATTCATTTTGTATTTGCAGAGGTTTTTTAGAGTACCTTCATATTTCCCCTGCTTTTTATGTGTGTACTTCTGCAGCTACCTCTGTATATTAAAGAAATGTAATTGGAGTATTATAGCTTTGAAGCTGTGTAGTTTTCTGAGCAAACTACTGGCAAAACTTGGTTGTATAAACTCCTCTGAATTTCTCTTGCAGGGCTTTTTACATTAATCTTAGCTGCAGTCTTTCCCAGCAACAGTGGAGATCGGTTTACCCTGTCCAAATTATTAGCTGTTATTTTAAGGTAAGACAATGGGAGGGAACATTTGGTCCAAAACTCCCTGGTACAGTGAGAGGACAACTGTACCAGCTGTGACAATCTGTGACAATAAATGATACCCATCACTTTTTCAAAATCCTTTTTTCACAGATGAATTGAGCAACTGAATTAAGGATTCTTAAATGCTTCATATCACGAACCATTTCCAAATATCATTCTCCTGTAGGAAATGAGATTAATTTCTGTTGGAAATAGATGAACTTATTTTCTTGTGGTTTATTTGTGGTTTGTTTTAGCTTTGTGTAATGGTGAAAAAGTTTGACACTCAGTGTTGTCAGCCTGTTTCATTAAATGCCTGGAGCATTGTTCTGGGAATTTAAAGGTGGGGTTGGTTGGTTTTTATTTGGGATCATGCCTCAGCAGTTGAGAGCTTCTTTTGACTTTCCAGAAGTGGGTTTTGGTTAACTAAAAATACCAAAAGATAGAACTGTATATTTGTTTTTCTCTTTCTTTTATCTGTTTTTGTAAAGAAATTCCTGAGTTCAAGCAATGTTTTGCATTTCTTCTTTTTTTGCTAGCATTGGTGGTGTGGTACTTGTTAACCTTTCTGGATCTGAAAAATCTGCTGGAAAAGATACAATAGGTATTTACTTATGGGTTTTAATCCTGGAATATGCAGTGATCAGTACCATCTTTTGACAGTACAAAGTAGTCATATAACAAGATCTGTATCTCTTATTCATGTAACATTTCACAATCTGGCTTTTTAGTTTCAACTTCTAAAACATGCCATTTATGATAAATTTTCACGCTATGCATATATTGGGAAAGTATTTCTATTTTAGAGCTTTCTCCATTTTCCCATGTTTTTCATTTAGTAATGGATTCTAATCAACAGAAGTTTAGGAGAGTTGATCCTACTGTACATAACGTGTTCAGCATATCTCAAGGGAGTATTTTTTCCATTTTTCCAGGTTCCATTTGGTCTCTTGTAGGAGCAATGCTGTATGCTGTCTACATAGTCATGATAAAAAGGAAAGTAGATAGAGAAGATAAACTTGACATACCAATGTTCTTTGGTAAGACCAAAAGTAGCTAACTCTGTTGAAAGCTTTAATTCAATGTGTGATTAAATCATATGCTTCCAGGCACTGAACTTTGAGTGGTAAAGGGGCTTAGAAAAGCCAAGGAAGTAGAGAAATCCTCTTACTCCCATGATTATGAGTCCTTTAGAGACTGCTTGTGTGAACTGTTTCTTGTTTAGAGCTTTAACAAGGAGAGGAACTTCCTGTAGGTATGCAGACAGCCCCACTGACTTAATGAGATTTCTTAATTTTTCTTTTCTTTTCAATTTCAAACCTGTAAATATCTGATGCAAATTTAGTTTGTGAATTTCAGGTTGAGTTTCTTACATTTGTTTCCTTTGCAACATTTCAAATATTGCTTCCTGGCTGCTTTTCTATATGCATCTATAGAATAGTCAAAATAGCAGATTTTAGCTGAGATTTTGGTTATGTTGAAGAAAATTTATTATGATTTACTTAATACTGTTTTTATGTCCAGGTTTTGTAGGACTGTTTAATCTGTTGCTGCTGTGGCCAGGGTTCTTCCTGCTTCACTATACTGGGTTTGAAGCATTTGAGTTTCCTAATAAACTGATATGGATGTGCATTGTCATAAATGGCCTTATTGGAACAGTTTTGTCAGAGTTCCTCTGGCTGTGGTATGTACTCCATACATTGAATATATTTGACATGAATTATCTTTCCTGTGTTAAGATGTAGAATTGTCTAGGTTGGGCTTTGTGCCCTTTTCTTTTTCCTGTTTTTCCTGTCCACATGTGCAGTTTCACCATTGTGTCACAATGTCCTGTTAAGACAACAGCTAACTTTAAAAATTAGCTGATGTGTGCTTGCAGTAATTAAAATTCTGTGTGCTTTACTTTTTCTAGAATTAACATTTGACATTAAAGAGGCTCTGTGCTACAGAGTTGAATTAACATTAAAGAGGCTCTGTGCTACAGAGTTGAATTAATATTAAAGAGGCTCTGTGCTACAGAGTTGCAGTAGCAGAAGTAGAGGATGAATTCTGTTGTAACAGTTCTGTGGCAATACTGCAACAAAAGATCGAGGTGGAGTAGATGGAGTTCAACAACAACGTTTTTTTTTTAGGGGATGTGGATTTTTGTTTGTTTTTTCAAGTTTAAAGTTATGTATGAATTTTAATAATTTTTTGTTTATTGACAAACTTTTACACCAGTCCTAGGTGTAAATGCATTGTAGCCTATATTCCTTGGCAATTGAACTGGTTTGTTGACAGAATATTTCTGTGATGTTAATGCCATCCTGGAAGATTAAACTGCAGCTCAGTATCAGTGTCAGGTTAGGTGTACTTTTAATGTAGGCAAAATAACAAACAAACACATAAATCTCCCAAACCTCAAACATTGTCTCTCCAAAATCAAGTACTAGCATAGGGTTAAGTACATGGGTGTGCACAGACTTTTTACATACATGATATTTGTTTAATTACTCAGAATGATATTCCAGTCAATTTAAGAGCTAGTTTTACTTCCAGTTCCTTTTCCCTAGAGTTTGGACTGGGACTAAATACAGAGTTTGTGCTGATATCATTCTTTACCAGTCCAGTGTGCCCTAGTATAGTCTTTAATTTTTTTGGAAGTAAATAATATAATTTAACCTACTTGTTTACTCCACCAAGCACATATTACCAACTACATAATGTAGGAATAGATGTGACTCTTTGTGGTTTTTTTTTTTTTTTTTTAAACTTTCTGATAAATTTTTATTGGCTTTTGTACCATTTATGCATTTACAGTTTTCTGTGGGCAGGTTGGTTGTAATTCAGACGCACTCTCTTATGCTCTAGAGAATCAGGGTATGGAAACAAAATGCAGATTTTTCTAGATGAAGTTAGCACATGTGAAATAGGGAAATTTCCATCATCTCAGAAGATTGGTATGGGAATTAAACCTCAGCCCAGAAGACATGCATTGCCTAGTTAAGAATTCTGTACTCTTTCACAGATTTATGATGGAGTGTGATGGTGTGAGTTAATTTTTGATTATTAAACAGTAACTAACAGTTCATCAAATGTCTTCCTCTTTGATGTATTACTTTGGTTGTCTTTTAACTTTTAAGTAAGACCTCATTATTATAGTTATTATTTATTGTCATTAAATTGTATAATTGTTATGATTTTATTGTCTTTTAGGGGCTGCTTTCTTACCTCATCACTGATAGGCACACTTGCCCTAAGCCTTACAATACCTCTGTCCATAATAGCTGACATGTGCATGCAAAAGGTAAGATACCACTAAATTTTGATCATTGTTTACAGAATTTCCTCTAATTAAATTCTTTTAGGCTTGTACTTGTTTATTTGGTACAAGAAAATAGTTGAGTTTTGCATTTGGAATGTTTCCAGCCAAAATAGGCTTTGCTGTTCAGTGTTTATGCAAGCAAAGTGTAAGTGAGTACCTGTAGACTTCTGAAACTTTGTGCACATAAAAATGAAGTTAAAAACCCCAAACACAACTTTTATGTTGCTTTTACTTCATGTCAGTGTGGATTTTGGAAAATAAGTCAGAAAAATAAAAGGATAAATATAAAAAAAGTAAAAAAAGTCAAAAAGAGTCAGACCCTGAATAAATACTTCTGTAATGAACATGTGATAGGCAATACATTTTGTGTTAGTCTTACCTGCATATTCCAGCATGGAAACAGAGCAAACACTGCAGTGGTTCCAACAATAATAAAGCATTTGTTGGTAAGACAGTTGTATTTGTGTTGCTCTTAAAACATCCACAATGCACACTTGAGATACAAATTGTTATGGGATGGTAAATAACTTATGATAACTGTAAAAGAAACAAGGAATAAAACATCTGTAGACTCCTCCCTCAAAACTCACTTCCATGAGGTCAATACATGGGAGCTAATGCTGGTAGTAAAAATTAAGAATTTTATATGTAGGTTTGTGTGTCAGTACACATTTTAGATATATACAGATGTGTGTGTATGTGCCAATGTAATACCAATGTATTAACATTGGTAGAGGTGTATATTATAGTTACATATTTCAATATATGAAAATTTTAGGTTGTCTTCTGAAGTGATTCATCTAAACTTTCTTCTGGGATGCACTGAAAAATGGACTATACTTTTCTAATTCCCAGTAAACAGTCTAATCTCTAGACTGTTTATTCTGAATAAACACAGAGTCCAGATCTTGTAAAATTAATTTATTCTTCATGTACTAGTGCAACATGGAGGCATTTCAAATAGCAGAAACATCTCCCAAGCTCTATTGGATGACTTTCAGCTGACATTGGTAACAAAAGGGCAAATTACCTTTTTAACTCATGTTGTGGGAAGTAATCCTTTCTGTATTGCATTTTCTAAAATAAATTACTAGTACTAGAGGCACAAGTGAGGGACCCTGATTAAAGGCAAAGTGCTGCAGACTGAAGTTTTTTGGACAGGTGTATTTGTGCAAGTCTGTCTCTGTCATACAGACATCAGAATATCCTAAACCAGGCCCTGTGCTCGCTGAAGTCTCAGGTGTCCACATCTCAGATAACCTGACAGAAATTTTAGCTGCCCTGCCTCAGGCCAGCCTTGTTTTTACTTAAAAGAACCCTGCACAAGAATGCCACTGGCATGGCTAATAATCATGGAATCATAGAAGGTGCTGAGCTGGAAGGGGACCCATCAGGATCACCCAGTCCAGCTCCTGGCCCTGCCCAGCACATCCCAAGAATCACACCATGTAGTGTAAAGATTAAAATATCAATACATGCAGCCTTCAGAAGACTGTCAAATGGGGTGGTAATTATACAATATTCATAATTACTAACTTTCTGGGTATTTATTTTTCTGTAATTTTCTAACATAAAACTGAATCTTAGGAAATTACAACCAGGTTTCTAATGACTAATTCCTTTTGGCAACTTACGTGTTCTGAATTTCATTAGAAATCAGTTGGGAGACACAGGGCTTAACAAATGCAGTTGATGAGGTCTTTGAGGAGGATCATCAGTGCCAGGTGCCAAAGCTGAATCTGTTTTCTCCAAAGTCTTCAGCTTTGGATCCTCTTTCCACACGGGGGGGCTGTGCCCACGGCTCATGGCTCTGTCATCCTGAGAGGCAGGTCCCAGGCTCTTCCTGTCCTTGTGCCCTTGGTTTGGAGTTACAGAACCATGGAATTCCAACCACTTTGGGTTGGAGTAGGCTTTATGGATCACTGCTTTCCAACCCATGGAAGGTCTAGGAGACTTTCTCCTTGGCACCAGAAACACAAGTAAAAACCTAAACCTGAGACTATTTGCAAATAACAGTCTTCATTCAGCTCCCAGTGCAAACAGAATTTTCCATTGTTAAGAATTAATCAGTGGGAACAGGTTATGCAGTTCTTAGAAGAAGCAATAACTATAGAAATTGTACAAAATAACTCACACTGTTTGAAAGAACTCAAACTGCATCTCAAACTTACAATAATAATCATTCCAAATATACAGCATGTCAATTATTTTTTGAGCTATCTAGTGAATGATGTTTGTGTTTCAATTCCAGGTGCAGTTTTCCTGGTTATTTTTTGCAGGAGCAGTACCTGTATTTTTTTCATTTTTCATTGCAACTCTCTTGTGTCACTATAACAACTGGGATCCAGTGATGGTGGGAATCAGAAGAATTTTTGCCTTTATTTGTAGAAAACATCGAATTCAGAGGTAGGGCAGTCACAAACTATAGTCCTGTTTCTTTAGCCTTTCCCATATCCTATAATCCTATAGTATTTTATAAGTCACAATACTCATCCTCTGTTTATTTTTACCTGATTTTATATTCAGGTGTACTAATTTCTTAATAGCAGTAGTTGCCAATCCATTCATACAATTAACCTATGTAATGCTCAGAAAATGGAAAGATGTGAAATCTGCTTACCTTTTAAAATAGGTTTCCTAGTGGTTGTCACAATTTTTTCCCTTAATGCATCTGTAATAATTTCTGTACCCAGCACATGCAGTGAAAATTGTGCAAATTTGAGTACACTTGATAAATTTAAGGAGTCTTTGCATGGTTTTAATGGCTAAAGTTCAAACAGCTGCATATTTGGTCCCTTATGTTGGCTTCATAACAATCAATTTAATATTCCTGTATGACTTGAAATAAATGTGTTTCTTTTAAGAATGCCAGAAGAGAGTGAGCAGTGTGAAAGCCTCATCCCTATGCATAGTGTTTCACAGGATGGAGATGGCTGCTGTTCATAGACAAAAGGTAAACCTTTAATAAACCTCAAACAATGCACAGAAATTTGAGGTTTGGTTTTCATGGTGGCATTTGTGTTATGCAAGGACACGTTTTTAAGGAGCATGCAGTCAGTCTTGTTCTATATTGATGGACAGAGTTTTAAAGTGTATCTTCAAAGTTATTATTACTACTTGTTGCCAAGCATTATTCTCACAGTTCTTGGTCAATGGTTTTGAAATATAGTTTTTTACTAAAGAGTATTACAAAGTTCATCCAAAACTGGATGTGAGTTAATACACCAGAAGAGCCATACAACTTCTTGGCATGGGTGATGTGTTTGGAAGACATCTGAAGTAATTAATTCACTCTTTAGTGTGTTGGGGTTTCAGTTTGGGCTGCTGCAGCCCATGAAACACAGCACCATTCAGGGAAGTTTAAAGATCACCAGACTTTATCATTACTGCTCCAGAAAGTGGAAAGGAGCCCTTGTGTTTGTGGATGATAAGAATTAAGTTGGGAAATTCCATTAAATATTAGGCTAAATATTTCTCATTATAAGCATAGGGAAAGTAGACTGGAATAGCTAAAGAGTTTGCAAAATATCCCACTTTTAAGAGGAGGTTGCACAAATCTCTAAAAGGAACATTACATGGTTTGTCAGTACTGGCCTGGAGCATTAAAGCAGACAAAGTTTAGAGCTCTCCTAGCCCTGTGCTTCAGGGTTTTCAATAATGTGTGCAGAATTACATGAGAAGTATATTTTTATTTTCCAACGTTGCTTAAATCTAATAATGAAATTAAAAATATCCTAACCAAAACAGTAATTGTGATGTCTTAAGACATGGACTTATTTCCTTTGTTAGTAAGATGGAAACAAATATTTATGGTAATTTCTCTTTGTAATCCTGAGTTATGTACCTCTGATAATTTTTTTCTTCTTCTTCTTAGTTTAAAAATGGAATGATGCCCAGCGAAGAGACAATCTTCTGGAAAAGTCCCTAAGGAATCATGTTTCAGTGCCTATTCTGAATTTGTAGTAAAAATAGAAGTTTCAGTTCTTTTGAAACTCTAAACTTTTTCTCTTTCTTGCTTTCATCTGATTTTATAAATGAACAGATCTACTACATGCCTGTCACCATGGGAGTCTTAGTCCATCTGAGCAACCAACCTGCCTTATAACACTTGAGCTGGTGACATTACTTGACAAAATCAAGAAAGCAAATGCTGTTAAGTGATTTATTTCTTTTTTAAGTCACAATTTTGTTAAATGCTGGACAATATTATTTTTAAAAGATACTTTAAAGTGAGTTATGTAAATAAGTTTGCAGGTCATCAAGTCTTACAGGCTTTCAGATGAAAAGCTAAATAGATATGTTACCTGTAGTAGGTACAAATTAAATTTTTTATGTTGTATAAACTATTTGCATATTAATAGATTAAAATAGAAAAATAATTTATTAAGTGCATTCCTATAATTCCTGAGGCAGGATCTTTGTATGGTCCTGGAACACTACATATACAATGTCCTAGGCCATTTTGAGTAGCCTTGTCATGGCAATGGGTGCTGATGTTTAAAAATCAAAAAACTGCCCAACAATCAGGAATGCTTAAAATTTCAGTGAATAGTTAAATATTTCTAATTACAATACATTTGGGTGTACATTCTTATACATGGTTTAAAACAGACTGGTTCTGTAACCCATTCTCAGTCCCAGTTGTCTCTCGGACATGGAAATTTTAAGGTGTAGCTGCCACATTGTGAAAGAGATCAAATTAATTGTGGAAGTTTTCAATCAGTGGGTTGGCACTACACTAATCTGCTAAGCAATATGAAGAGGAAAGGTTGTTTGCATTGATTTTTCTTTCCCCCCAGCTGTATTAATAAATTTATTCTAAAACTGATAATTATCTTCCTTCCACTGCAGTGTTTAATCCTTTTGAATCCAGAGAAGCTATTATAATTATATTCAGGAATATTTGAAATTAGTCAATGCTATTTTTCAGCTCCTGGCCTATAAGACACTTAGATCAAAGTTAATTTTGGCTTTTGATGGATTTGAGTTTTTTATAATGAATGGAAGATGGATTTTTAGCCAAGAGTATTTTCTTCCACATAACAAGATTAATAATAATGTAGGGTATTTCTACTGTCCCTCCACACAAATACAGAAGGATGACATAGCAGAAATGCCTCTTCATGTTTTGGCACTCAGTAATAATCCTTCCAAAAGCAATTTTGGTGTTTTGGTAATATAACTATTATTTAAGAGGGAAAGCAGGAAAGCAACATGCTTAAGCTCTACATTTATAGAAGAATTCGAGCCAGCAGCTGGAATTTAATATGAGAAATGTGTGTAGAGTAGGAAGACAAAATGAACCTGGGGCTATTCTGTTCAAGTATTTAACCTTTATCAGGATTTACCTTCTTGTTTTTAATACTGGATTGCACTACAAACTTTGGTGATCTGAGGCATGTCTTTAAGATGAGATAGTAAGTCCTTCCTGGACCCCAAATAAGAATTAAAAAATATCCAAAACCAACCACAACAAAATCACAAACCCAAAAGAGACAAGAAAGTCAATTAAATCACAGTTAAATTTCCAAACCCCACAAGTAGAGGGGTCACAAATGCAGTATGTTGAACTAATTTTATTTTGGTCGAATTTTCAGGCATTTCTTGATCAGTGGAGTTTCCTTAGGTTTTGGATTTTTCCTTCCAAATTATGACAAAATTAGAGGATGTTTGCTTTAACATTTTTTCAAAGAGTATTGTTAATGCCTACTTACAATAAAAAAAAGGCTCTTTTCAGTTAATGAAATGTTTCAGTGAGATGCTGCAGAATATTTGATACCAGGCATTAACTCCAAATTTGAATCAGCTGGGACTTATGGCATTTGTGCATTAAGCCTGGGAAAACCAAGTTTGCTTTCAGATGGCAGTGACAGTATTTGTAGCAAAATCTTCTATGACTGTTTTTTGCAATTGGTCACACAAACAGGATTGGATCTATAATGTCAAATATGCAGTTGCTATTTATATTTGCCCTTATGTTCATGGCTTAAAGTCAAAGATCATCATAGCCTCCCATGTATATGACTGTTAATTTTCATTATTCATTAGTTTGAGAGGTTAAGAAAAGAAGTACTAAGAAAATATTCTTCTGTCTCTGACCCTAGGAATGATGAAGAACATTCAGTACATTCAAAGTCAGGGCTTTCCAAATGTTTTTCACGAAAATGTGTTATTTTTTTTTTTAAATAAGATATAAAATATTTTTATCTTCTGGCACTAGGTAGCTTAAGCTGTGTTTTTGCATTAAATTACAATTCTTTAAATAGTAGGAACAAAACAAACTGTCCTTGCTGAAAGGATTTTTAAACAGTGGTGCCCCTGTAGTTACAGGAAACGTGTTACAGTTTTAATTACAGAAGCTATGATATACAACATTGTTCCTGCATTTAATAGAATGTGATGGAGTTTTTTCTACAAAACCTTGTGATTTTTAGTACAATGATATTTTATAAATATAAATGTCTGATTTGAAATGTAAATTGCATAGCTCTCTAATGGATGCTTGGTAAATGCACAAGAGATTTAGCTTTGATTCTCAGGTACCTCTGATGCAATGGAGACGTGCTGGGTTTTTCTTCCCTGTGACACAACTGGAATGTGAAGGAGCTCTCTCATGAATGGCAATATACCCTGTGTAGTAGGGTATATTGTCATTGCTCTTATTGTTTCAATTTGGGAATGGTTTCATTCTGACTTACTTCTTGTAGGAACCACATATGCTTTAGAAAAATAATGTCGAGCATTTCTTTGATTGTCACCCACTGGTTAAGGAACAGTGATTTCCCAGGCCTGCAAAATGGGGAATGAATACTATGTGTTACTCTGTCAAACAGTTGAACTCATTCCTGTAATCCTTTGAGACAACCAACAATTTCTTCTGTGTGTGCAATTGAGGTTTTAGGGCTGTTTGGTTTTTATATATGAAGGAAATTATGATAATTTGCCAAAAGCAAATGCTACAGAGCATGCCTTTGCCTTTAGGGTTTTGGTGAGTCTTGCCTAGTTTGATAAGCAGTGTGCTGCACTTCAAAAGCAGAAAAGAATTTCAGTTTTTCTGGCCACTTCATGTTGGGTTTCAGTCACACTGAAAATGTGTTCCCTACAAGGGGCTGCTGCAGATGTAGTGCTGGTTCAGCAAGGGTTGGAAATGCCACCTCTGTAACCAAGTCTGGGCCACATGAGTGCTCCTGAAGGCACTGAGGGCTTGCTCTTTGGCTTTCCCAGTCTTCACTGCATCCTGCTCCTTGGCTTCTGGCCTCTGGGAATGCCTGCAAGGGCTGGGGGCTGTAGGACAGGACTGGTCTGGCTGGCTGCAGGGACTGCTCACAGGCTCAGAAGCTGGAGGCTGAGGCACAGCCTGGCTGTCCCTCTGGGTATTTGTGGAAATGGGGTGTTGAGCAGGGCTGGTGTTCAACCCTGCAGAGAACTGCAGGTGATTCTTGGTCTATTCATGGCAGACCTCCTTGGAATGTACTAACAGAAACAGGAGGGCTTGCAAATTGCTTTTCTTGGTGTGTGATGCTGTATTTTGTCATTCCTGTCACAATGCTCCTGCCTAGGTACTGCTATTCACAGCTGTGATGGCTTTAAATAAGGTGGCAAAACAATTTCTTTATAATTCTTGGTTCTATTTCTCTTAATGTTGAATGTTGTCTTTCCTATTCTCTACTGAAGATCCTCCTATCTTAGGGAAATTGTTACTGAGCTAAACTGAGCTCTCAGACGATGGGGAAAACCAGTAAAATTGTGGAGATAGGCTGAGTTTATGGACACACTTTGAATTTCATATGGAAATAGACCTCAGAAAGGCAGAGTGTAAATGAAGTAAAGAACTGGCATGCTCAAAAATCAAGATACAAACTGATGTTAATATCACAGTGTTGGGTTATATGGCTAACTGTAGGATGGTACTTTGAATCAGTTTCCTTTACTTGGCATAAGTTTTAAGTTACCATTTCTGTTCTGGCTGTCACATGTAGCCTGTGATTTAATAGTTATAATTCCAGTAGCATTTATGTGATTCATAAACTGTTGTTATGCATTTTTCCCTCTCTAATCCACAATTTCATTAATGTTGTATTTTGTTTTACATGATCATTTCAGGGCATGATTTCTCAGGGAAATATGGATGATACCATATGTTGTGAGAGCCAATAACTAATTCCTGCTTTTAAAATCGTTACAAACATTTCCAGGTTTCACTCAAACATTTCACATCATGTAACTTCCATGTTGAATTTCCTTAGGCTTATCAGGTAAATCATGATGAGAATGTTAAGAGCATTTAAAGATGTCAATAAATTTTACTCTGCCCAACACTTTGTTACTTTTTGGAGAAACATCCATTCTAAGGTAATGAAATGTGTGTGATTTTCTACTTAATTGTCCTCTTTGCCATAGAAATGGATAGTTACTCTGCTGATTTTGAAGCTGCACTTCTGGCATGACAATGACATTAACTTTTAGGGCTAGGCAGTGCTGTAATAACACATAATCTGATTCTGCAATAGATCAGTATAAATCTCTAACATAAATATATTCATTTTTATCATTAAATTTTTAAAAAGTCTCATCACTTTGGGGGATCTTGTTTGTTTTTCCAGTAAAGTTACTTTGGCCAGAATGGGATCTGATCCAAAGCCCACAAGAGTCATAGACAGCATTAATAAAGTAAAACTTTATTGAAAAGAGCTCTGCAGTCAGGTTGACCTTTATGCCTTTGCAGTATTTCTGTCTGCAGCATGTACTTGGAGTGGTTTGCTTTAAGACCTCAGTAATATAAAGGAGGAGTTTTAGTGCTGGTAAAGATGGTAAACACACTACTGTTACTGTTCACAAATGATATTTCCACATAGCCCGTATGCAGCTTAATTATTTAGAAGGTGAATTTGTCTTGCTAAGTGACTTTTGTCTAAAATCAGCAGCATGAGAAATATTAACCCCTGCACTTTGCTGTACACTTCTTTTGTCCATAGTGAGAACATGTGATCATAGTCATCAGCCTTGAGCACCAGCTTCCTCTTGATGATTTCTGCTTTGACATTTCCATTTCCATGCCCTGTTGCATTCATTGCAAAGTGAATTTCCTCTCTAGGTAAAGCCAGCGTAATTGTATTTTGACTGCCCTAGTCCTCTGTGGTGTTAGAAATCTGACATAAAATATAAATCTGACATGTGTTGTGACTACTTAGAGATTTGTGTTCTCACTCTTGTCATTACATCTGGTGTTAGTAGGTAACCAGACTTTTTCTGGATATGCCTGTCATGATGTGGAATGCATCCACAATTCCATCTGGCTTTCACTTCCTACTTTTAAAAAGCATAAAGGGCTTTTCTCTGAGGATTTTTGTAGAAAGCAGCTGTTTAGTTCCACAAGTTCAGAGTCCTTTAACTGCATCTCAGTTTATGAAGTTGCATCCCATATTTGCTTTCTTTTATTAATGAACTTCTTAAGGTTTTTTCAGGAAAGGTCCTCAAATTTTCTTTATGTTCCACAGAAGAAATATGCCTGGAAACTGAAATGGCCTCAGAAATAAAAATTCAGGGGTGTTTATTCTTTAGTTTTTCACATATGTTCCTGATTTTTTTTACCCACTTTTTTTTTTTTTTAAGAAATCCAACCACATAAAACCAATGAAACCCCCATACTTATCAAGCTGAGGGGAATTAGCCATTTAGCACAGAACTAATTTTATATTATATACAAATGATTGTATTTTTATCAATGATACCAGTCAATGTGTTACTGATGTGGTCAGTCCACAAGTCTTCCTTGTCTGAGTCACAGGTGATGCTTCTCTTCTATCTAAATCTGACCTCTTGCATACCAATTAAGTTAGTTCCACTGCCAGTATGAGTAATTTCTGAAATACTTTAGAATCTACTTTTTCCTCTAGCTAAGGGGACAGCAAAGGCTTTCCAACCAATGTCACTTTCCTATTGAAGAAGAAGAAAAAAAAACTAAAAAAAAGTAAGACAGAAATGTTAATTAAAAATCAAGAATATTAGTAGGAAAGTAGGAAGCATATGCTGTAAAATCGTTGGGGTCATTTCTTGCATAGCCCAATTCCACATAGGCAGTGGTTTATTGGATTGATCTCTGGTTGGGTATTTTAAATAATCATTTCATATTGAAGCTGAAGGTTTAAATTAAGCCCTGTGATTGTTTAAAAAAATCATGGAAAAAAAAATTATAATTGGAGAGTTAGGAGGTACTTTTTGTTTGTGGTTTGGTTATTTTGCAGTCCATCCAATGCAGTTACAAAGGAATGCTCTGTGAATTGGCACTCATGAGAGGCTGTTTACACAAGGCTACATGGAAAGTACAGCCAGGTGTTGGAGTTGACATTACCTGTGTGGAATTAGAGAAATGTACTAAGTATGAGGTACAACTTCAGCATTGTAGAGCTGAAGGGACATTTGTAATGATTTAAAATTCATGTAAGGTCTCTTTGGAGTAGATACCAGTAAAACAAAACTGGTTTGGAAACCTTGATTTCTGAAACCCCGGACACCTGAGTGCAATAAAAGATGCTCAAAACCAGTTGTAGTTTTGGTGGTTGTTCTGGTGTTGCATTTTGGACTGACTTTCAGGGAACTCTCAGTTACACTTTTAAAGGGGAAGCTGCTTTAAGTGAAGAGCTTTCACCTGAAGAAAACTTTTTTTTTTTTCCCCCTGAAGTCTGTACAGTTTGCTGATAATTCAGATGTTCTGGGAGCACAGCAAGTTCCAGATATCCAAGTATCCTCTATGAAACATCTTTATGCATCATCTTTTAACCATTTTCCTTGTGAAAGCAGAACCTGAATTGCTGATGTGTATTGCATTTGCACTTGAAAACCTGATTTCAGAGTGTGTTAAACCTTGATCTATTTTTGATAAAAAAGAAATGTAGCATTTTAATCTAATTTCCATTTAATGGCAAGGATATTCATGCAGAGAAAAACATATATCAGGGTTTGATGCAGTGATTTTTAAGCCAAGAAAACAGCAGGATGGCAGTGGTAAATCTGAAATGGAGATGCATATCTCTTCAGAAAATCTGGTTTCCTCCTGCCCTTTTTATACCAAATTGTGTCTCCATTATTCCAGGATAATGCAGCTGAAGCAAGAACCAGAGCTTTTATCCTTTTGTTCTCTGAAAGTGAACACTGGCTTTTGCCTGGGGTGTCTTTGTCCTGTCACTTCATTTTCTGATGGGAGGTCAGTTAAATAAAAAATATAGAATAAGTATTTTTAATTAAAATCAGATTTAAGCTATTAATTATTTTGAAATTCTCTATATTAGTAGAGATCTAATGAATGGAAATTGAAGTCCTATATTGCAAATACTGAACAGTGCTTATATATTTTTAACAAAACCAGTATATATATATATGAATATTTGGAACATGCATGAAGGTGGAAATTGGAAGATTGTTTTTATGTTAAAAGGTTTATAAATTGAAATTCTCGATATCAAGTACCAAAACCCTATAAAAGGGCTAATGAAAAGAAAATGTAATGTATTCTCATTAACAGCCTGTGTAATACAATCAGTGGGTGTGATGTTTTTGTTCTGTATTATATTTATTATATGTAAGTAAACAATAAAGATTATAAATCTTATTTTCTTAACAGGAATTGGTATTTGATTGGGGTTACTGCTTGGTGTGTTTTATATCATCAGTTAAGAAAAAATGGTCACCAGGGCTGGGGTTAAAAGTGAGTTTTGGGATGTCTCGTGTTACCTGGAGTCAGCCAGGATGTGGAAGGCTGTAATTTGGTGTCAGCTTGGTGTGAGTGCAGGTTTGGGCTGGGGCAGGGTTGATTTTCCTCCCCATGGCTGCTTTGGGGCTGGTTTGGGTCTGTGCTGAGCACAGGGTGCTAATGCAGAGATGTTTCTGCTGCTGCTGCCGCTGAGCGGGGCTTGCACAGAGCCAAGGCCTTGCTGCTTTTCCTGCTGCCACTCTGGGAGGAGTTTGGGGTGCACGGGAGGGGACACAGCCAGGATGGGGGACCAGGGCTGACCAGGGGACATTCCAGACCATGGGACAGCGTGCTCAGTACCTACAGTGGGGAAGGAGGTGCCGCTGTTGGGATGGATACACGACACACACGCACACTTGTGTAGAGACAACAACAGCAGCTTCATTATTACAAGTTGTTCTTAAGTTTTTATACCCTTAACAAAGTGTGATTTTAAGTCATTAGTTACATCAAAACAGCTCATTATATTCACTGGACACAGCAATAACTTACTGTGTTTTATTGGTGTACAGTCATTAACATCAATAATTAATTGGTCAGAATTTACAACAAATTATTCAGGCTGCTCACTAGGGCATGTATCTTCTGCCAGTATCTTTTATGTGTTTATTTTATGAGTTTCCATGCTAATGGCTTTGCTTTCTTCTTTGCTATAGATAAACTCATATTTTATCAGTTTCTTCTGCTGCTAACTCAGTTTGGCTTGCAGACTAGCTGTTAAACCCATCTACAGAAAGGAAGAAGAGGGGACATTGGGAGTGGAGGTGTTTGTCCTCCCAAGTCCCCATTGCGGTGGCAGGGCCCTGCTCTCCTGGGAATGGTAGGAAGGAAGAAGAGGGGACATTGGGAGTGGAGGTGTTTGTCCTCCCAAGTCCCCATTGCTCTGGCAGGGCCCTGCTCTCCCGGGGATGGCTGAACGCCTGCCCGGCCCTGGGAGCAGGGAATTCACCCTCCGTTTGTTCCACCTGGCTTTCCCTGTTTCCCTGCCTTAATCCCAGCCCACGGCACTGCTCGCTTTTACCCTTCCCCTTCCTCCCCGATGTCCCTCTGGGCTGGGCTGTTCGCTGGGATTAAAGCACCACAGTCGAACACCGATTTTTGGTGGGCCATTTCCACAGTCCAACACCGATTTTTGGTGTGTTTCGGGTGGTTTTTATGGCGAGCCCCTGAATGGCAAAGCGCGCACAGCCTGTGAGCAGCAGGGGGAGCTCCGGCCGTGCCCATCCCGCGGCTCCGGCTCAGCAATTATTGTGTAAGTGGTGAAAAGATAATTAATTTACCTGTTTATCATCGCTGATTCCCGCAGTTAGCCAGGGCTAGACATTGACCTTTCTTCTTGCAGCTGAACTTTCAGCGTCTTTAATAATTAAAACCTGGGGGATGATAGGCATTTACCTAAATAGTTCATCACAAAGAAAAAAAAATTCCACCATAGGCTTTTCTTAGTTTTCTGGATTAACTACAGCTGAATTCTTTTTTACCGAGATCCTAAATGTTACTGCGCAGCTATAGCGAGATGCAACTCTTTACACTAAAACAAGGGGATACTTTCTTTGCCACCAACTAATAAAGGAGTTCACCTCATATTCCCTGACAAGCAACAGGAATTCTGAAGCTCCAACGAAGAATTTGAAGCAACTTTACTTAGTTTCTTTATACTTTCAAAGGCAAGCTGGCAATAACAATCCTGTTCTTTTTCTAGTGTACTAACTGAATTCAAACAGGGCAGAACACTTTGTGTCTTTATAATGCCACTATTAAAAGTGATCAGCTCAATATTAGGAAGCTTGACAGGTCTGCAGTTTCTGCCGTCTCTCCCAGGACGACTCGCAGGAGGACAGATACAGCTTTGTCCACTAACAGCAAAGTTGAAATCTTTTAGGACAGCACGTAGATATTGATCCAAGTTGCTTCGCTCTCTGCACCTTCACGGTCCGAGAGGATTTTGGTGCTCAGGGCGAGGGGTAACGAAGGCCCCTCCAGCACCTCTGCAGGCCCAGCACTCTGCTCCTCACGTCCAGACCTCACTCCAATTTCCCAGCTCTATATTGGCTCGTTATTTTGGGGGTCTTTTCAGTACGTTTGCAGTAGTAGCCTCTCATGGCATGCTGGTCCTGAGGGATTTTTGCACGCTCCCCCTCACAAGTCTCGTCCCTTCTCCTCACGGCCTGGGGAGGTCCCCGGCCTTCACTGTCTCGGGAGAGGAGCCATCAACGCAGCCCCGGCCGGGGCCTTTACTGATCCAAAAAAGAACCATTAACGACAAGGACTTGTAATTATCATAACAAACAGGTAGCACTTTAGCAGCAACAGCGGCCTGACTAGTTTTTGTAACCTTTTTCTCACAAAAAAAAAAAAAAAATTGGCAGATTTTTTGTTTATAACACTAACCGATGGCTAGAATCCCAGTCATTGTGTGATTCCTCCCTTTTAAGTAGCAGAGATAAAGTAAAATGTGGAATAATTTTTGGCAGGTTCTGCCAAAAAACCCATAAAAGCCTAAAATGCATCACTTCCTTAGGCTCTGTCAGTACTTGATGAGTGGTGCTGAGGGGACAGCTGGCTGCATAAATGGCTGGGGCAGGTGGTGACAGAGCCACAGGGAGGAGGTTTTGGAGGCTTTGATAGAGATGTGGGGGTCAGAACTTGTTTTGTGGTTTGGTTTTTCTGTTGTTTTGTGGATATTTGTTCGTTTGTTTTTCCTTATCCACAGCGTGAATCGATGTATTGTTATTCTGTTAGGCTAAGATCTAAACTGTCCTCTGTGATATCCTGACACCCGGTGCTTTTCTGTATACAAAGGAATCAGTCAGGCTCTCTGGATTGCTTTCAGTCTTTAGGATATAATTTGTTGACACATTATCTTGTTCTACTCTGTATGCTCTTCAGTTTTAGGAGACACATTTCATACATGAAACTGCCACTTGCCAGAAGCTCAGTGTCACTTGCTACAAGGTGAGGTTTAAAGCTTCTCAGAAGGATGATTTAAATCCCATTTTCAGACTTCTTTTTCTATCAATAGTATGCATGTGGGAGACATTCTTAGGTTTTATTTATATCTGCAACCCAAGTGTATTCCGTTTATATTGATTTTCAAAAACTTGGACAAAACTTAAGGTTTCTAAAGAAACAATAGTTTACTCTCACTTTCCCTTCCTCTTGCCCCCAGCCACTACTTCAAGATCATGTGAAAGAAAAGCTAGTTCTAGTTTGTGGCTTTGCAAGCTTTCAGGACTTTTTTTGGCAGTGTTGCCTAATGTGTTATAATTTGCTGGGAGATGAAAATCTTCATATCATAAAGATTCCTTAATTATCTAAAGAGCCTTTTCTTTGTGGGAATCTTCCAGTGGTGGGACATTTTCTAGGCTTCTTTGATTTAGCTGCTGGGGTCCTGCTGCTAATGGTGATAGAAAATTCATGATTACACTGCAGAGTGTGCATTTACACAGCACTAGAGAAGCTGCATAAACATAAAGGAACATTCTGTCTATCTGTAATAGTGTTCCCACTTAGAAAGAAGCTCATCTGCCAGCAGATCTACTTTTTTTTTTTTAATCCCTTTGGAAGGAAAAAAAAAAAGTTTAGTTATAAGCAGATGGCTTTTGTGGCTGTGGTGTTGCAGGCAAACAGGAAAGTGAACCCATGAGAGAAAGGGAAATAAAGAGGAAATCTGAAGCAAGGACTGTGATGGATGGATTTGGGTCTCGAGCACACCTCTCCCTAAGTCCTCCTTGCCTTTTTGTTTGTTTCCCTCCTCACAAAGGAATGTACAGAAAACACTTTTCACTAATTGAGAGGATGTCATTAGTTCATAGTATAAATATTTAAAATATTATGGGTATGTGTTAGTAATTTAACACATGTCTTTTGTTAAAAACACATTTTGACAAAAGTGCTGAGACTGACTTCTACCTCCCCTTTCACTGTTAGGTAAAAGCTGATACAGCTCCATCTGTCACTCTTTTTGCATGTGATGTTTTCCCCAGTACTTAAAAATGGAGTTGGATTCATTACTCTTCCTACAGGAATGTGTTGGCCATAGTGAGTTTCAAGTGTAGGAAGAGGAGCTCCTGGAAAATGTGTTCCTAGGGTAAAAGAGAAATATTTCTCACTGAAATATTTTTTCTCAAGGAAATGGTGATGGACTAAGCCAGTGTCCTCTGTGAGATGCAAAGGGGCAATCAGGACCAGCCTAACCTAGAGAAGAAAAGAACAATGGGATGATCTGTCAGGAGCTGATGGAGAGCCATGGAAGGGAATGAGCAGCCCCTTGGAATTAGATGCATAATGGATTTCCAGTAAATGAGGTATACCTGAGCTCCTGCAAAAGGAGTCAGCCGGAGCTGAAATTATTCCTGTCCTTGTCTGCTCCTTTTGTACCCAAGGGTGGGGTAAGATGGTGAGTTCTTGTTAAAGCTTCAAGACAGAGCAATTTTTCTAAAAGTCTCAACTGTTCTGTGAATAGTGGATGAATCACCTTCAGATTGTCATGGATTAAAAGTTTCAAAACACCCAAAAACTGAAGCATTTCATTATTTAAAAAAAACACTAATTTGCTTTTAGGGGTCTAAATGATATAAAGGTTTGGTGACACATCAAGTCTGTCATGAAATAATAGTAATGTCATATTGGCACCCTGACAAAGTAATTCCTCAAAACACTTAGTTAATGCTTTTAATGATGTATCTCTCCTTTCTGGCTCTGGTCTGCCATTATACTTGCCAACCTACCTCCTCCCTTTGCAGATGATTTCCAAAACTGACACATTTATGTCTCCCTTTATAAATTCTTCATTTTTTCCCTTTTTTTTTTCCCCCTTCTCCTCTCACAGGTTTAAAAAAAGACAGTTCAATTCTAAA